TAGTAATTGTGTTATATTTGGAATAAATATCTAATAATCATTTCCCCATCGGTACCCTCTCACACACTGCACAGACTCCATCTTTTCGACTCTTGTCAAGACTTTAAGCAGTGTCAAGACTTTCAGCATCGGTTCGGGAAATCCGGAAACTACATTGGGATCTACTATGAAAGCAAAAGACTTATAAAAAGTTGACAGATTTTATTGTTCTTTGTTATTGCTACGTTTAATAAAGTTTTTATTTTAATTTATTTTGATTCTAAATTCAAAACGTTTGCTAGAAGATGTTAAAATTGTTGAGTTTGTACTAAAATGGTTAAACATCTTGTTAAACAACAAACTTGAATAGCTTAGAACCTATCTAAACCTATCTAGAACCATCAAAAAATCAATCAAGTTAATTAATCAGTTAATCAAGTTAATCAAGTAACGAATGACTCATTAAGTGTCAAAATCAAATCGAATTTTTATTGAGCAAGAAAATGAATTGAGAAAGATTTGGGAAATGGCCAAAGAAGAAAGAGGCCAAAGACCCAGAAAACCCCCAAAAGAATCATCCAGTCACAAGGCAAACGAAACTCTGAACGAAAGAGTTTTTTTCCTTGGTGTTTGTTTGTTAGAACACCCGCACACCCTTTTTGTCATACAAAAACGCACCAAACAGTCACAGTCACGAAGTTCTTTCAAGAACAACAGGAACCTAGTTTTTAAATATTTGCTTATAAACCGTTTCCTTGTCATTGTTGACTTTTTCTGAATCCACTCAAAGAATCCCAAAATTTACCCAAATTGTGGTATTAAGTAATCTTGTTACTTTTTGATGGCATTTCCTTTAAATTACTTTGTTTATCTATTGCTCAACTATTAAGTTACTGTAGTTACAGGGTGCGGCATGTAGAGTTGCGGACAATTCAATAGAATCAATGCTCTATTTGCACAAATACCACAAATTTTTCATTATTTTCACACTCAAAAAGACATCAATAGCTATTTTTTATGATATTAATAGATTGCTCTAGAATACAATGCCAAAAGCCTAATTTACTCCTAGATTATCAACTTTTTTTTTGACTTTTCTGAGAATTTCTGGACAAGTCTAGAGTTATTCTAGTTCTTCGGATAGATAGACATGTAAAAGTTCACCTGTATACATTGTGGGATCATCATCAGTTGTGTGAATTTTGAGATGACAATTAATATCAAATTTCTCTATGGCTGATCGATTGTTTATCAGTGGGTCGGTTCGACGCTTCATCAGACGTCCACACCTCGTCCAAACAAACGAAAACAAATGTTTTTTTACATGTTGAATCAAAAGGTGTGTCAAGTGACTCAATTATCTTTGAAAAAAATTTGAAGGGGCTTTTTTCGTTTTCGTCGAACTCTGCGTTTGAAATATCCGATCGTTTGTCACTTAGCGTTTGTCACCGATCAGCTTAGGAACTGAACTTCAATTAGGAAGAAAGGTATTAACTATCGACATGCAAACATTAAAAAGTCTTTATTTTGTGGTACAATAATAGTATAGAAATAGATTCAGACGTTTTCTTGAGGCGAAATCGGGAGTCAACTTCTTTCAGCAGTAGCTGTTGTCGCGATTTTTGCAGCGGCAAAGGTGATTAGCCCACCCTTCGCATTGACCCCAATTGCATTTTTCAACGAGTTTGCAATGCATGTTGCATTCCGCATTGTTGCTGCTCATATATGTGCATCCATAAGCTAAAGCATTTAGAAATCATTTAGAAAGAGTAAACATTTAGGTGTTAAAATTTAGATTTAGAAATAAAAGCTAAAAGAATTCTTCAAACAGGAGCCGGTCAAACTTGTAAATAATAAGTTTTGATTCCTTCTATCTAGGTGAATAGTTTTTATTAACTACACAGTTGGCTCTTAAAAAATATACCTAATATGTAAAATTTTAATACTCACCTCGTTTCACGCGAGAATGGATTCCGTCATTTCCGATGTCTTCATGCACATGCACCTTCTGCGAACTTTTAGATCCATTATCTACCCATCTTGCTGATACAATAACGATGGACACAAGCAAGCAGAATATGACCACCACCATTTTGGTCAGCTTCATCTTCGGCTAGTCAATGCAGAGTTATTGAAAAATTGAACATCAACTTTGCGGCGCAAAGCTTTTATATGATTCAGCTCAATGGAGTGGGGGCGGTCCATGTTTATTGATCTAGTAGAAGGTCAAAGACTTTAAACCAACCGTTTGCAGTCTAAACCAACCCTTTGCAGTTCCCGGTAAGCGGAAGGTCGCAGGTTCGAGTCCCGGTGGGGCAAAACTTTTTGATCTGTCCTGGTTCGTCCTGGTTATTGTATTGAGCAAGGAAATGAATTGAGAAAGATTTGGGATAAGAGTGGCCAAAGATTAAGACCCAGAAAACCCCAAAAGAATCATCCAGTCGCAAGGCAAACAAAACTCTGAACGAAAGAGTTTTTTCGTTGGTGTTTGTTTGTTAGAACACCCGCACACCCTTTTTGTCATACAAAAACGCACCAAACAGTCACAGTCACGAAGTTCTTTCAAGAACAACAAGGACCTAGTTTTTAAATATTTGCTTATAAACCGTTTCCTTGTCATTGTTGACTTTTTCTGAATCCACTCAAAGAATCCCAAAATTTACCCAAATTGTGGTATTAAGTAATCTTGTTACATTTTGATGGCATTTCCTTTAAATTACTTTGTTTATCTCAACTATTAAAATGACTGTAGTTACAGGGTGCAGAGCATGTAGAGTTGCGGACAATTAAGTAGAATCAATGCTCTATTTGCACAAATACCACGAATTTTTCATTATTTTTACACTCAAAAAGACATCAATAGCTATTTTTTATGATGCTATTTATCTATATCTATATAGCTATTTATCATCAATAGCTATTTATCTTAGCTTTCGATTGGCGCCAATCTTGAACAAATATAATTTAGTATTTATTCGATAACTCAACAATTAACAAAATAATGTTTGAATTATCGACATTTAAAAGACAAATTTACGACATTTCAATAGAACCGATCGTAAAAATTAATGTGAAATGGAAAAATCTTTGTTTGATTTAACTTTGAAATAAGATACCAGCTGATCTTGCGACGATCAGCTGGTATCTTATTCCAAACCGATTTTACAACCGCAGATCATGAATGAATACGCCATCTTAAACATCTTAAACATCTTCAACAACAAACTTGAACAGCTTAGAACCTATCTAAACCTATCTAGAACCTTCGAACAATCAATCAAGTTAATTAATCAGTTAATCAAATTAATCAAGTAACGAATGACTCAAGTGTCAAAATCAAATCGAATTTCAATCGAATTAAAATTTAATTAAAATCAGAAATGAATTGAGAAAGATTTGGGATAAGAATGGCCAAAGATTAAGACCCAGAAAACCCCAAAAGAATCATACTTCTTGCAACGATCAGCTGGTATCTTATTCCAAACCGATTTTGCAACCGCAGATCAATATGCCATCTTTTCCTTTTGATTTTTAGACCTTTATTTCTCTATCTACATCAACCCAAAGCACTTCAATTGACGATAAACCAGGGATTTATGGCGGCCATTTCAAGATCTTCCATCCCTGATTGGTGCCCTATTTTTGTTAGCCAAGATAATCTCCCATTTGCAATAAGAGAGCTCAAAAAGTACTATTTTTATAGTAATTAACTCTAAAAATGTATTAATGCAGAAAAAGACAGAAAAAGACAGAAAAAGACGACTTTTAGAGACCCCAAACCTGAATTTAACAATTTTTCAGCATGCCGTATGGCATTTTTTGTACTGATCGGCTAGGGTTGTCAAAGGCATTAAAAATCTTACAGTTCTTCTATTCTATGTAAAATTATGATAGATTATGTAGATTTTAGAACTAATTGTTGTCTTTCAGCTTAAGTGAATGTATCGTCTTAGAAAGCCAAAAAGATACATTAAGCGCAACACTATAAATGCCGCACTCTGTAGTGAAAGAACGATATATGTACTAGTTTTTATTCATGATCATTTGGTGCCAATTCAAAAACACTTAAATTTTATGAGATTCTGATATCAGATGAATCTCATAAAATCTTAGAAATTTAATGATCTTAGAAAAATGATCATTAAATTTTGAGATTAGATTTGCTGAAGTTCACTAACGATAGAAGAAGAACCATCTAATAGAAGTACCCCCTTGATACAATAGTAATTTAAAAGGTACTAGAATTGTAAAGCTGTAAGTAGAGCTGAAAGCTGTAAGTAAAGCTGAAAACTGTAAGTAGAGCTGAAAGCTGTAAGGTCGAGTTGAGCTTGCTCCCCGTCAGAGAGTTGAGTTGCTTTCGGCATTGTTTTTTGAAGTTGAAGTAAGACAAAATAAGTTCTTTAGACCTTCTTATAAGGAATCTGAAATGAAGGGGCGGGACTTATATTTGCCAGAGGCAGATTTAGCTTTTAAACTAGAAAAAATTATGAAATGACACTAAAGTTTGGGGGGTGGCGTATGGTTACATGGCTGTTACATTTTTCCTATTCATGCTATGTCGATGATTTTTTTGGGTGTAAGGGTTATTTTTGGTCCTGAATCTAACTGCGTTTTCAGTTTTTTTTGTCACTGGGACGGGAGCCGCAGAAAATTTAAATTTAGGGGGTGGCGTATGGTTTTGCACCGCACTGTAGTTACCTAAAAACTTCTAAAACTGATAGGGTAAAAATTTAAAGGAAATTTTGCTTTGCTTTGCTCTAGATTATCTAGTAAACTACTAATGTTTTTTCACACAATTTCAATCTTTAACATCACTTTAACATCTTTTTTATTCTTCGAAAGACTCAGTCGAACTTTGACCCAAACCTTTCGAAAGCTAGTCCTGAGCTAGTCCTCATGTTAGTCACTCAAAAATGACCAATCAAAACAACAAGAGCAATAAAACACACTCAAATTTATGTTTTTTTGAGTAATCATCACTTTTCAGGCATCATCACTCTTCATCTTCAAGCTATTCGAGTATGGAAAACGCGGAAGAGTTTGAACAAAAACAACAGCAGCAGTAACAATTGCCTACAGTCTCTCATAGTCAGGTCAGTCAACTCTACCAGCTCAAAACTAAACTCTGTCTACCATACGGGCTTAGAATTTAAAACTTTTCAAGGATTAGAATGAAAAGATTGGAATGAAGAGATTAGAATTTGTGGTCCTTTCTTGAATAATGACTATTCGATGAATTGACCAAATTTACGTTAGATCTTTCTCGTTTGGCTTGCTGTTTGGGCTTTAATCAATTTCATGCTCGGTTTTAGCCTCCACCATACCCAGTTAATCCATCTGGACCTCAGCCAGAATCTAGAGGAAACGCTGTTGCACCTATTTACGTTGTCGGACAACAACAGGTATTATAACTTTAGACTTTAGACGGTTTGGAATAACGTTACACTTTTTTAGCAAAATTTTAATAACTTTACCTCAAGATTCTTCTTATTAATTGCTTTTTTAGCCAGCTGTAATCTTTCAACAACCGATTCCCATCGATCCGCGCTCTCTCGGTCCATATCCAACTGTTGTTACTTGTCCGAATTGTAAACAAGTAAGTAATTTTGACAAATTATAAAAATTATTACCTTCAGGTTAACCCCACTACAACTTTTGCTGAACCAGGACTCTTGACTTGGTTGGTTTGTTGTGGAACAGCCATCATTGGGTAGGTACAGCCATCATTGGGTAGTGCATCAATGTTTATTGTAACAAGTAAAATGTTGAAACAAATTGATCAGCTTTGATGAGTAAGTAATCATCAACAATTTTCAGCCTCTGGCCGTGCTGTTTGCTTCCATTTTGTGTGGATTCTTGTCAAGATTCAGAGCATCGATGTGGAAAATGCAAGAAATACATTGGAACTTATAAACGAATTTGATAAATTTCCTCATTTGCTAAATTTATTACGTACATATCTATGTAAACGAATGTCATTTTGGATTTCAATTCAATTTTAACAGACTATTTACAAACTATTTGCTCAGCTGGGCGAGTTTTCAATCATTTCAACCATTCATTCGATCGATCCATTTCAATGGGGTCATCGGTTGGTGGGTGTGAAGTGAAAATTGAAGAAAAGAGAAAGAATCGCGCAAAGTTTGTCCTTGAAATTGGCAGCCTTTTCTTCTTTTTCTCATTTCACTAGGTTCTGCTCATTTTACTTCGATCGAATGGTAAAAAAGAGGCGAAATTTGATCCTTTTCTATCCAAAGGGTCAGCTTCAACTCGTTCTAGTATCCAATAGCTTTGAGAGAAATTTCATTATTTTATGATTCAAGTTTCGCAACAACATTGGACAATCGTTTGTTCTTGAATACTTGTTTCTTTTATCTTTAACCTTTCGTAATATTTGTTTTACTTACCGTAAATACTATAATAGTACTACCCTGGCCTCATCAGACTCTGGTCCGACCTAGCCCAAGTCTGAAGGCCATTGTCTGGTCTAGATCAGGTCTAAATAACTGTAATTGACTCGTGTCTAGCCTATCCTGCCTGATCCAATGTTTCTGTCTGGCTTAGCCTAGCTCTAGATTTTCTCGAGCTGATCAAGTCTTGGCAGGTTCTGGTCTGGTTCTGGTCTGGTCTAGCCCAGGTCTGGCCTCATCAGACTCTGGTCCGACCTAGCCCAAGTCTTGAGGCCATTGTCTGGTCTAGGTCAGGCTGACCTAGTTCTGGTTTGGCTCAAGTTTGGCCTGACTGAATGGCTTAGAATTAAAGTAGAGTTTGGCACTTTTTACTTACCGTAAATACTGTAATAGTACCCTACCTCTCTCGTACAGTCGCGTAGTCGCAAAAGTTTTTTAGTATTTCATTTTTGCAAAGCACACGTATTTTCAAAAATGTGTCTTTGGTATCAAAAAATAACCCTGAATTTCAGCTATTTTTTGATACCTAAAAACGCATCGTAGCATAAACTAGTGTCGAGAAAAACTCGTCTAAAGCTAGACTACACAACACTCCGCACCGTCATTATAGGGGTGGGGTACTATTACAGTATTTATGGTAGGTTGTTCTAAAGGGTATTTCTGGTTGGGCTAGGCTGGCGCTGACCCTAGCCTAAATCTAGCCTGAGCTTGACCTGGACTTGGACCTGGCCTAGGCCTAAAACGCGTCCAAAGCACTACACAACAACCGCACCGTCATTATGGGGGTGGGGTACTATTACAGTATTTACCGTAGTAAATTTGTATCTTACTTTTCTTGTTCAAAATGATTGTGCCAAAGAAAAGCTAAAAAGTTAGCCACGCTCAACAAGGATTAGATAAACTTTTCCAAGAGTCAGTTGGCCAAATCTGGATCTAACCAGGCTCGAGTCTAACCCATGTTCTGAAGCTAGTCTCACTTCAAACTAAAAGCTAGATTTATTAGGTTGAGGAAAAATAATGCGCGTTTTTTTTGGGTGTAGCAATCTATTAAATTTCACAAGAAATAGCAACTATCAATCAGTAAGGTATTCTCCATTTTTTATCGACTTTTTCCCATCTTTGAGACAAGTCCTTGATCTCATTTGTGAAAAATTGAGGATGTTTAGAGCGAAAATAGTTGTCGACCGCTTTTTTTGACTTGAGCATAATCATTGAACATTGAACTTAAACTGTTTCAGCGACCGAAACCAAAAGCAATCTAGAGCTAAGTCAAGAGAGCAAGGCGCATGAGGAAGCAACTCCCAACCCATCTTGTCAATTTTTTTGTGAATGCCTTTTGCAGTGTGGGATTTCGCGTTCGCAAAAATCGAATCTTTGATGGATTTAGCTTCAATTTCTTTCAAGCATCGTTAACTCTAGTCAATTGTTTTGAATAGAAATCAGCAGAAAGCAGCATCAATGTTTTCTCCTGGATTAGCTCATAGTGCACCAAATCTTTTGAGTTCCACCAGGAACAGAGCATTATTTTCTTTCCATGAATATCAGGTTTAGGAGTGGTTTGAGAGGTTTATCCGGTAGATAGCCATTAGTTTTTTTTTGATATTCTCGTAATTAATCCAATTTTCATCAGATGCCAAAGTCGAATCCCAAAAACCCCCAGCTTTCCATTTATGGAGCTGACGTTGAAACGAGTTGTTTAGTTGTTTTGAGGCAGCTCCTTCGAGCCTTTCGAGTCAGCTCCTTTCCACAGCGAATTTTTTCCCCGAGCTGGTTATCTATTATCTTTTGATCACGAGTGAGTGTTGGTTGGAATCGAAATTGGTGAAATGCCGAAATTCAAAGCGCGCATCATTCCATCACACAGCTGTAGCCAGAAATCCATTTGACCCAAGTCTAGTCTGTCTCAGAATATTTCGATTTTTTATTATCCAATTATGAACAAACTTTCTTACTTCTTTTACAAAAATTGTTAGCCTAACTGTAAAAAGATTTGACCACCTCTTCTGCCATTTCTTTTTTGTTGCCTCGTAACGACTACTTAAAGTGACGTTGTCTCGAAATTTCGTAACGTAACAAATTTCGCTTTCCAGGAAAAGCCCCGAAAATAGACAGTGAACAGAAATAATTTTGAAGAGCTCTTAAAAAGAAAAAGAAAGAAAATGATCTTTTGGAGTTGAATTAGAGTTGAGTTAGCTTCAAAATTAATGCTTAAATGAGTAAATTTCAAAAGTTTAGAGATCTATTTGATTATTTTGAAAACTCACTTTAAACTATTCTTCATTATTCTTAAATTTCTTAGTTTTTCTATCTTTTCCCTGTTGAACAAATTCTTCTTTGCGGTGGATCAGAAAAAACTGTTTTTAACCGAAATCAAATCCACTTTTTCTTTTCGTTTCCCTTTTTTCAGATCTCTTTTTTTTCAGCTTGAAAATTGCAATTGAAGTTTTTCTGGGAAACGGTTTCGGCCCGAGAATTTGACTCATCTAAACATATGACACATAAAATAAAGGGCTTGAAGCGTGAAGAAGTTTAAGATTTTTTGGCGCGAATTGTTGTAAGTATCATTAAGGTCAGATTTTGCAGAATTGTGTTACACTTTTGGTTGTAGAACAGTGCTTTACAATATTTTCAGTGTAAAGCCACAGTATACTTCAGTTCAGAGTTGTCAAAATGCAACTTTTGTGGGCCAGACCAGACCAAAAGGCCAGAAAAGAGCCAAAACCCGAATCCTAATCTGACAACTGGTTATCGGACATTATCGGACAACTATCTAGGTCTAAGATGACACAAAATGTGATCTGGAGCTGGCCCAGCTAAGCCGGGCAACTGGCTTGACTTCTGATATGGGTTGCCGTATCAAAAGAACGCCCCGCCCTTTTGCTCATTGATAATCTAACTTTGAGCCCAAATATCTTGGTGTTGGGCTATCCAGTTTAAGTATTCTTGGTATCATTCAATGCACCAAGTCTTTCTCTGTCGATTGGTATGAAAACAATTTAAATTGGACAGCCCAACACCAAGATATTTGAACTTAAATTTAGATTGCCAATGACAAAGCGGGCGGCTTAGGGGCTTAGATACGCATCCCGCCCCCTTTCCCATTGGCAATCTAACTTTGAGCTGAAATATCTTGGTGTTGGGGTGTTCAATTCAAAAAGTTTTTGCATCATTAGATGCACCAAGACTTTTTCTGTCGATTGGTATGGAAACAATTTAAATTGAACAGCCCAACACCAAGATATTTGAGCTTAAAGTTAGATTGACAATGGCAAAAGGGGCTGGGCACGGATTAAATGTTCCACAATCCTGACAACTGGCCTTGTTGCAGGATAGCGGATAGCCAAATTGGCCAGCGGATTCCAGGCTGGCTTTGGCTTTGTCTTATTGATTTGATCTAGATTTACTCTTGCTTGGTTCTCTGGACTTCGGGCTTAGTCGAACCATCCCGATTATGACAAACGACTAAAGAAATTTTAGTTTCACATAGCTTTAGCTGTCACTTTCTATTCGTGCACGAGTCTTAGCAAGTTTTTAAACCATAGCCTTTCATTTCTCTTCAAGAAACCTCTAGACAATCAATCAAAATCTTGGTGATAAAATTGAACCACCCTTGAACTAAAGTTGCGAAATTTTGCCTTCAAAATTGCGATGAAAAGTCTTTGTGAGAGTGAGTGATGTGAAGAGTTTCATCAAACCGCTCAAATAGCTCTTTTGAACGAGTCCAATGGAGGCATAGCAGTGAGTCATTCTTGGATCGATTGCTAGTCGTCCCCCTTTTCCCTGTTTACCCCACCCCTTCCCCTTTTTCTTTTGACCTCTCTGGCTATTTTTCTCTTCCACATCTTTTCCTACGCCAATGGCCATCTTTTCTCTTGCTGGCTTGTTGTTTTTGTTAAAGATATTATGCAGATAGATCTGTTGATTCGTTGCGACCAGATTGAATCCAGATTTAATAGATTTAGCAATTGAATCGAGATTTAACATTGTTCAAGCTTGAAAGACCTTTTTTTTGTTTTGACCAATACCCATGATTGACTTGAACTTACGTTCATTTATTTCTAATCCTAGATTTTCAATGCTTTTAGCATATTGAATCCAAAATTGTACTAAAAATCCACTATAATTTCCCTTGAAATCAGTTGTGATAAAATACAAGTTTAAACGCTTTCGGTTTCTTTTAAATTACAAATCGTCAAGTTAAGCTTTTGCTAGATTAGCTCTTAAGTTAAAAACTTCAAGAACTTGAGCACTTTTGCTCAAATTTTCATGAAATTCTATTGGTTGGACCGTTATTTATAGGTAGTTCCGTATATTTTCTGAAATTTCTGATGACAACTGTTTGAAATGCTCAAAAATGATGTTATTATCCAGTCAGCCAGTCTATCAGCTTTGAAGTCAGCTTTGTCAGCTTTGAGGTCAGCTTTGTCAGCTTTGAAGTCAGCTTTGCCAGCTTTGAAGTCAGCTTTGCCAGCTTTGAAGTCAGCTTTGCCAGCTTTGAATTCAGCCAGTCTGTCAGCTTTGTCAGATTCCAAACACTTTTCAAAGGCTTATGATCTTTGTGCCGAAAAGTAGCTCTTTTCTGTGAAATCTTATTTAATGTTTTGATTTTGAATATCTCTGATTCTCCTGTCCTTCCTCTAAAGATCGTTTTGTGTGATAAAAGGGGACGGGGCCCACTCTGTATTCTTTCTCGTTTGGCACAATGAACCCACGATCGATTCTATTTTATTATATTATTATTTCTCGCTAGATTAGTAATTGTGTTATATTCGGAATAAATATCTAATAATCATTGCCCCATCGGTACCCTCTCACGCACTGCACAATCTTTTTGAATAGATTAGGTTGGTGAATTGAAAACTGCGGGACTTTGAACTAAAATTTATTCAACATAAAACTATCAATTCATTTCAAATAATTTCCATTATTATTGACGACTTCTGCCTATTTTACAGGCAATTTGCGGATTCCTCTTTCGTAGTAGGATTTTGGTTTGTGTGTGAGACAAGTGTGAGACTCAAAAATGGAGGACTGGAGATGTCTCAGTTTGAGCACTTTCTTCAAAAGAAACCCATTTTGGTGTCAATAGAAAAGTTGTAGAGAATCAAAAATTAGGCTTATAGCCAAATTTCCAAAAAGATACACTTAGTAGTTTCGCTTAAAATGCAAGTTTTGTGAAAATTTGGCATTTCTTTCGTGTAAATTTGGCATTTCTTGAAAACCAGTTTTTGAATCGTTCTGAAAATTTGGATATAAGCTTCATTTTTGATTCTCTACAACTTTTCCATTGACACCAAAATGGATTTCTTTTAAAGAAAGTGCTCAAACTGTCACATATGACAATAGCCCGCAGTTTTCAATTCACCAACCCAATAGATTGCTCGTTTCTCCAAGGATTGCGACTTACAATTCCAAAGATATTTTCTTTCAAGGCTTCAAAACAGCAAACGTGCCGAACTTCCTAAAATCTCTAATCTTTTTTAAACCTTGCTCTGTTTGAACATTTTTTGTGAGTGTTTACATTCGCTGAAAGAAGCCGTCACTATCGACTTTTTTTATCATATGAGTTGTTCAATATTTTCAATCGATTTTACGCTTTGCTTTTCAATTCAGAAAAATGCCTAATTGCCTGTTTTACCTCATTCTCATATCAATTCAATCGCTTATCAGTGTTGAATCGTGTACGGTTCCATATGAATAAGCTATGAATAAGCTTTTGGGTTTAAGGTGACGTAGGAAATTGGATTTCTTGGAATGACAAGTGAATTTTATGGCTAAAGCTTTAGATTGTGAAAGTTTCATGGATAGATTTGAACATGAATGACTAACAGCCGGCTTTATCAGTTCAGTGTTCAGTAGATTGATCCGGAAACTGTCAATAATGGCCTCTTTGCCCCAATTCAATCGCTTATCAGTGTTGAATTGTGTTTTTAGCGGATCCTTTATCCAATCCAAGTCCTTTTCTTGAGTCTTGAGCATTTAAAAGTTGAACAAGGCCCAAGTCTTGGGTAAGTAAAGCTTCATGAACTGGACCAAGAGTTGAGTTTGAATTACTTAAACTTGTCCAGAACAGAACAGAAATCTTTTCAAAACAGAATCCAGCATAATCGATTGATCATTGTAATTGAGTTCACAAAATGCTTTTTGTTTAAACATGTCAATATTCGCCAGTCCATTGCAAAACCGCAAGAAACCCATTGAATTCCCTTTTCATTCATTCTTTCATTCCTTTCTCCATTTCTTATCAAAAAAATGAATCACTCACCCCCTCTACTATCCTTTTTTTGCCCAATGTTTCAAAATATTCTCTTCATCATTTTTTATCTTGAAGAGACTTTAACCATTTTTTGGTCTTCCAGCTTTCCATCTTTCGCAAGCGTGTATTTTGTGCTTGAAAATGGAAACGCACGCATTGTAGTGCACCAATAAAGGCGTTGAAAGAAGAAAAGAGTTAGAAAGGATTTCTTATGACTTCTAAACTCAGAGCACAAGAGCACAATCCGATATTTCATTTAGCTTCAACTTCATTCAACTTTTTCTGAAACTTCATAGCAACTATTTCATTGATTTTGCCTTCATCCATTCTTTCATCTCTTAAATAATTCTCTCTTTCGCAACTGTTTATTTTTGACTTTCATTTCATTTGATTTCAGCTCAATTTTGACTTGATCCCTTTCAGAATCAACTCACACTTGACAAAGATGTCCGAGAAGCACAATCCAGAGGTTTTTTTTCAATCAATTAGCTTTTATTTTGAGATTTTGAGATAATGAAAATGTTTATTAACGGTATAGGTCAAATATGGTTATTATTAAGATAAAGCTTTGTCACTTGCAAGCTGTACTGCAAGCTGTACTGCAAGCTGTACTGCAAGCTGTACTGCAAGCTGTACTGCAAGCTGTACTGCAAGCTGTACTGCAAGCTGTACTGCAAGCTGTACTGCAAGCTGTACTGCAAGCTGTACTGCAAGCTGTACTGCAAGCTGTACTGCAAGCTGTACTGCAAGCTGTACTGCAAGCTGTACTGCAAGCTGTACTGCAAGCTGTACTGCAAGCTGTACTGCAAGCTGTACTGCAAGCTGTACTGCAAGCTGTACTGCAAGCTGTACTGCAAGCTGTACTGCAAGCTGTACTGCAAGCTGTACTGCAAGCTGTACTGTAAGCTGTGCTGCAAGCTGTACTGCAAGCTGCAAGCTGCAAGCTGTAGATAAAGCTGCATTTGCTTTGGCAAAAAAAAGTGAATAATTCTAATGCTTCAAGTGGCAGAAGTTTGAGCTCTAATTGTAAAAGGCTTTAATAGATTTTTTATTCAATTTTTCTTATTTCTCACACTCAAACTTTTCTCTTCAGGCTGTCGATCAAAATAATGAAAATGAGAATAAGGAATCAACGGTAGCGTGTCAATAGTCCTAGTTTGCTTTGAGTTTGAATTTTTTTTCCGGGTCTCCTAACAATCAAAGATGCTGCAAGAAAACTGATCACCAAAAACCAATAAAACAGCATCTCTGAACGTTTGAAAATAACAGCATCTCTGATTTGCTTCAAAATCCCAATCAATTTTGCTTTTTTGGTGTACTTTGTGCTCGAAGTTTTGCAAAGTTTTAATAGCTGATAAATCCGATCTGGTGCATTCATTTACAGATGATAAATCGAATTTGATGCACCAGAAAGCGTGTGTTTCCAATTTGAGCCCAAGGTACACCAAGGATGAGCAATTTTAAGCCTCCAGACTTCTCTATTTTACCCCAAAATCTTTCTCTAGCACTTCCATGGCGCCCCGGTGGACAACAATTGGTTCAATGTAATGAAATAGCTTTTTTGTTTAAGTTGATCTTGATTGAGCAATTGATTTCGTTAATAGTTTCATTACGTAGTTATGTTTCTTGCAAAAACATTGATATGGCTTCGGAAACACTTCAATCCTAACAAAATCCTTTTCTAACCGCACTCTCGCTTTTTTTTCTCTTGTTCTATAATTGGAAACACGGTCAAATTGAAAGGAAATCCTTCATTAGATTTGAAATTCAAATTTTTCTTTAAAATGACTTTTATCTTTGTTCAGGTAACAAATTTTAAATAAAAAATTGACCATGTTTCTTGCTTGGAATGAACTATAAAAAAAAACACTCTTTCTGATGCAAATTTTCGACTTTCAAGATGATTCACAGGAAATTATGATTAAGAGATTCCTTGTTCAAAAACTTACAACTTAAATTCTTAGGCATTGCATCAGAAAGTGTGTATTTACATTGAAGCAAAGTACAACCTTATCTCTTGGACAAATTTCAGGCCCAAATGCCTCCTCCACCGCCATATCCAGAAGCGACTTCTGGGGTCTATCCATCAGTGCCCACACCCAATCAAGGAGCCTATCCAACACAGCCAAACCCAGGATACCCACAGCAAGGCTACAGCGCATACCCGCCAAATCCTCAACCAAATGCGGTAAGTTCAGTAGAATTTGGGTAAAGCATGGTTTTCTTCGACTTAGAGTTTTGCTGTAGCCAGCAGGACAGCAGGATAGCCAGCAGGACTTTGCTAAACAAGTTTTTGTACTCCTTTATCTGACAAGTAAAGGAAATTCTCTCTTCTTTTAGCACTAGTGCCTTGTAGACAAGAGAAAATCCCAATCCAAACCTAATTCCGCCATCGTTTTCTTGGCCAATTGCTTTGAACTTTTGTCTACAAATAGAAATTGATATTTTCAGCTTCTAGACAAAATTTCAGAGCAATCGACAAGAAAACGAAGATGGAATTAGACTCGGTTTGGAATTTTCCCATGTCTAGTGCCTAGCATTGAAGCTTTGGTTTATCTAGTTTATACGTCCGTCATTGAATTTCCTCCTCTATTGAATCTATTCAATATCGGACGTCCGTTTTTTCGTCTAACTTATATTTCAACAATTTCCAAACTTTACTACTAAATCCTCGAAATCTACTATTACGAAATCTACTACGAAATCTTTACTACCCATTTTTTTTCTTTTCATTATTGAGCATCCATCAACTAACTTCAAAATTTATTGGTTACAAACGATTGGAAATTTAAATGATTGAAAATGGACATAAGCACAACTTATAAAAACTTCAATAAAGAAAGAATGAAATAGAAATGCGAAAATAGGGTTAGCTAGGATTAAAATTATGGAGTTAGAATTTTATGAATAGAGATTGAAATTATACTTACTAACTCGCAAAAACCATAGATCATTACAAAAAACAAAATCATAAAGATGTAGGTTAGACGATTCAAAAACGGATATCCGGTTCTGGATCAGACGTCCGATATTGAATAGATTCAAAAACAGACATTCAGTTCTGGATCAGACGTCCGATATTGAATAGATTCAAAAACAGATATCCGGTTCTGCATCAGACGTCCGATATTGAATAGATTCAAACACGGACATCCAGTTCTGGATCAGACGTCCGATATTGAATAGATTCAAAAGCAAAAATTCAGTTCTGAATCGGACGAAATTCAATAACATATACTTATATTGATTCGAAAACGATATCCCAAATACACAGTTAACCCAAAAACCTTGCAAAAAGTAAAGAAGTCTAAACAAAATACATTCGTTTAAGCCAATGGGTGTTTATCCACCTTATCCCTATCCAGCTGTTGTTAATGGTGTGGATGTGAGTCGAGAAAACCAATCAAGTCTAATCAAGTCTAACTAACCAAATCTAGCAGTATACACTCGCAAGAACACGCCAAGCGAATCACAACTAACCAAATGTTTCAGTTAGCTGGGATTATTGGTATTTGGGCTTGTTCAGCTTGAATCTTGTGCTTTTTCAGCTGATAAAATAATCAATGTCAACTTCTTTCAGCCATCAGCCACCGTAATCACTGTTCAGCCAACAACCGTCGTGCTCAATCATCACCTTGGCCCATATCCATGCTCGATCACATGCCCTAATTGTCATCAGGTATTCTTAAAGTTAAAGGATTCAAATACTACTCAAATAATAAGTTCTGTATTGGTTAATTGAACAAATACAGAACTATCTACAGAACAAGTCTCGTAAACTTTGGTTGATTCATAAAACCCGTTTACTTTTCTCATTTAGACTGCTGTTACTGAAGTCATCTACCAAGCTGGACTCTTTGCTTGGCTCATTTGCGGAATCATGTTCATCTTTGGGTTGGTTTGAATTAATAAACTTTTAGATACAAATACGACTTATAAAATATGAAGCAGAGTCATTTGTGACTAATTCAACAAATAGCAAATTCACAAATTTTAAATATAATTTGATCTAACAGATCTAATCTATTAGGTTGGTGAATTGAAAACTGCGGGACTTTGGACTAAAATTTATTCAACATAAAACCATCAATTCATTCCAAATAATTTCCATTAATATTGACGACTTCTGCCCATTTTACAGGCAATTTGCGGATTCCTCTTTCGTAGTAGGATTTTGGTTTGTGTGTGAGACAAGTGTGAGACTCAAAAATGGAGGACTGGAGATGTCAGCTGTCAGCCCAGTTTGAGCACTTTCTTCAAAAGAAACCCATTTTGGTGTCAATAGAAAAGTTGTAGAGAATCAAAAATTAGGCTTATAGCCAAATTTCCAAAAAGATACACTTAGTAGTTTCGCTTAAAATGAAAGTTTTGTGAAAATTTAGCATTTCTTTTGTGTAAATTTGACATTTCTTGAAAACTAGTTTTTGAATCGTTCTGAAAATTTGGATATAAGCTTGATTTTTGATTCTCTACAACTTTTCCATTGACACCAAAATGGGTTTCTTTTGAAGAAAGTGCTCAAACTGTGACATATGACAATGGCCGGCAGTTTTCAATTCACCAACCCAATATAAATAATTCTAGAAGGAAAACCAATCGAGTTTAAACCAAGTGTTAACAACTAACTTCAGGAGAATTACTCTAGCTGAAAGAAAAGCTTTTAGTTTAACATCTTACAATAAATCTTCTATTTTCAGTTTTTGGTGCTGTTGTTGCATTCCTTTCTGTGTCGATTCGTGTCAAGACGCCGAACATCGTTGCCGCAATTGTCGTCATTACATTGGCACCTACAAACGCATGTAAAACCGCAAAAATTTCCCATTTTTCTTTATAAATAAAGAAATGACTATACAATTATCCTGATTGCCGATTCTATCACTTTATATCTTTTCTCTATTCTTGTTTTGTCTAATTTTAAGAATAACATCTTCCATCTGAGTACCGGTGTAAAAAATTATCCATTTTTTAAGAGTTACACAATTTGTAAAGTAATTTCTTTGTTATCTAAATAAATGATTAGTGCTTATTGTTTTCTAAAAGCGCAAAGGGGAAGAATGATTGAAAAGAAAAGCATCAAGGAACAAGTCTAATGAACGGAACGAGTAAGTTAGAGAAAAGAAGAGCCCAACGGTTTTCCAGAGCTTATTTGGGACTTGTTGATATTCTGGATGAATCATTTTAAGCAGAGTTTCGCGGTTTCCAAGTGCGCAGATCTATAGTGTATATAGATGGAGGAAACGCATAGCAGAAACGTAAAACCGATTCGAAATCAGCCAGTATATGGCTCGTGCCATACAAATCTTTACTTTTAACTAATAATATTGGTACTACGCCGGTTGGGTGGGCACTTTTTTTCTTCAAAACGACTCTTTCTGAGGTAGTTTTATGCGTAGATTCCGAAAAACACAACGAGAGCTTGGAAAAAGGTGTTTTAAGCAGGGTTTCTGGGCTTCAAAGTGCGCAGATCTATAGTGTATATAGATGGAGGAAACGCATAGCAGAAACGTAAAACCGATTCGAAATCAGCCAGTATATGGCTCGTGCCATTTGGCCACCACACCCGGTTATATACTGACCGACGTAGAATTTTGCACTGATTCCGCATCTGTTTTTCGTTTCTGCTATGACGTACTCGTAGTACTAAATATTAACGTTAGTACTACGCCGGTTGGCGGGGGAGGGGGCGCTTTTTTTTTCTTCAAAACCACTTTTCCTGGGGTAGTCTTATGCGTAGATTCGGAAAAACACAACGAGGGTTTGGGAAAATGCTTTTAAGCCGGGTTTCCGGGCTTTAAAGTGCGCACGTCTATAGCAGAAACGTAAAACAGATTCGAAACCAGTCCATATATGGTTAGTGGTTAGTGTATTCTAAAAGCACAAAGGGGAAGAATGATTGAAAAGAAAAGCATCAAGGAACAAGTCTAATGAACGGAACGAGTAAGTTAGAGAAAAGAAGAGCCCAACGGTTTCCAGCGCTTATGAGGTTTCATGCAATATTCTCTTGTTTTAGACCAAAGCAATAAACGAAAGCAGAACGAGCGGTGTCGTTAGTGGGTCCTTCACAACGGCCGTTGAGAGCAAGCCGGGAGCTGCGGGTTAGTAAGGCATAAGGCCCTATCCTGGAAATGGGACACGTGTCGGTGTAACCGTGGTAGAGCGTTTGCTCGCTAGGCGAGAGGCCGCGGGTTCGAATCCCGGCGCCGATCATCTTTTGTATTCTAAACCCCAACCCATAAAAGGACCGGCGTGTCCAGCTAGATCGATGCCAGAAACTTTACATTGTCCGCTGGCTTAATGAAAAACAAAAATGCTCAACTTCTCAAGTTTAAAAGTATTGTATTTCTCAAGTGTATTGCCAAATACGATCACTTTAAGGTGGAGTTTTGCAACAAGAAGCTCTACACGTTTTTGAGAATCCTTTTCTATTCTTTCTCAAAGAGCTCTCTGTCGGGAGATTTTTCGGCATCAAATCTCGAGATTTGAACGGTAAACTTTAAGAGTTTCTTGTTGCAAATCTCATCAAAGAAAGGGGTGACTAGAGGCTGGATTATTGGTGAAATTATGCTAACAACAATATCAGTTATATTGCCTAAATCCTGGTTAACGAATACCAGAGTTGTGGACTCTTTAAGATCTAGGAATTTGAACGGTAAACTTTGAGAGTCTCTTGTTGCGACTCTTATCAAAGAAAGGGGTGGCTGGATCTACAAGTAAACTCTTTCAGATCAAGCGTTAAGCTCTTTAAGATCAAGCGTTAATCTCAAATTACTTAAACTTTCAATCCTAATCTTTTTCAGGTGGAAGCCGGCCGATCATCGGGTGGGCAAACTCAACGACGAATTTGATTTCATTTGCGGTGATGTTTAAAGAGTCGACCGTTGTTTTCACTGGGCAATGTTACGCGAAAAGTGATGGAGAAGTAAGATTGATAAGAATTTCATAAAGGTTACTACCTAGACAATAAAAGCTTATGTTTAGGAGCTACTTTGGACCTCGTGGATCCTCAAATCAAAGGCCGATTCATGTAAAGCGCATTGGATGAAAAACACGTGAGTTTTGCATGATCTTAAAGCAAAAATAACTAAAGTTTGTCTTTTCTACATTATGCGGAAAGCTATTTAGCTTATCAACTGAATATTTTTAGCAAGAAATTAAAAGATATTCAGTTTTGGGAATGAATATTTTATGCTGGTTTACTGTGGTCACTTTTCATTGTCTTTAAGCTGATGGCTACACTCCAAAGTTTGATCAAAAAGTTCAAAATCAGTAAATTTAATGATAATTTTACTCCAAATAATCTGTAGATTTTCCAGTATGGGCGAGGATCGTTTCACTCGTATTGACGCCGGAAAAGGATCCCAAAATGGCCCTTGTGGATAAAAGAAATCTCAAATATCGACGATAATTAACTTCAATGTGTTTTTTATTTGCTTTTGTTTATTCAAAGTTTGTTTATGTTCATTTTGTGTGTAAGAAATATATTTATATTTTGATCTTTATAATTTCTTGTGAGCCCGTGTCGGGGTGTGGTTTAATGGTAGATGTCTTGAAAACGCACAATAGATAAAAGGAACCAAATCTGTAGAGAAAAGGAACAAATCTATACCGAAAAGGAACCAAATCTGTAGAGAAAAAGAACCAAATCTTTATCAAAACTTGCCCTTATTAGGGCAAGCTCAAGCTGGAGCAACCTGGCACTATCATAATTACTTCAACATTTGCGCGTGAAAAAAACGATGAATAGAAAAAGGAGCACACAACTGACTCAAGACAAAGCTTAAATAATGGGTTTTTAAGTACACAAGCTACGACAAACGGACAACTGAATATCGTCTAGTGGCTGATTACGGTAGTTTATCCATCAACTTTGAATGTTAACTTGTGTATTGAATTTTGACTAACTGCAGAGCAGTGGCAATTCTCCACAATATAATTAAAGTTTAATAAAGATATTGGTGTAAAGATTGAATCAATTAATGTTGCCGAAAGAGGCAATGGACAAGAATTGGCATTCTGGCATTTACTAGGTCAAAAGATTTGCTTCAAACCCCATAATCATTTTAAACTAAATTAACAAATCCTACTTTTACCAATGTTCCAATTCTATTCTAATGTTTCCACTCAAGTTACTCTCTTTACTCAAAGAATTGACTCTGGAGCGTATCGCTTTAGACGAGGTTTTCAATCTCCTGAGAACCAGCAGTCAACAAGGATTTACTTCTTGATACATGACCTTTCAAAAAGACTCTCACCGAACTTGAATTTCTAACGTATTCTTCAAAAATAAAAAATCAATAGAATTGTTTATTTGCAAATTGTATAATCGAATTGAATGGCCAAACGCTTTCAGCTCAAAATCAACATTGGTGGAGCTTAGAAAGGACATGAAAGCCTTGAACTTCAGTGATTTCATGCGGTTTTAACAAACTTGGAATACAAATTGGAATTTTTATTGACAAAATCTAAAAAATACTAGAAAATCTTTAAAATATTAGCTTTCCCGGACGATTCCAATCAACAAACAACGCCAGGCTCCGCACAGAAGCCGTCTTCTGGATTTCCGGTGAATGAGCAACAGTGGAGTCCCTTTGGGCAACCATTTTTAGGACAACCATGTTTAATACAAGCGGCCAAAATCTGAAATTCATCACAATGTTTACGTACTTTGTACATTTTTTACTTGTTAAAAAGCAAAAAGGGTATTTGGCACACTGTTCCGAATGTTTAGAATGAATTGGGTAATTAAACCGGCTTCGGAAACGATTCTCAATGCGAAACATGATTATTTTTTGATCGTTTATTGACTATTGCATCAAAAACTACCAAAAACCAGGCTTTCTAGGACTTTTAACACAAGTTCACCTGACTTGCAAGCTTTTTTAGCTTTAGAGTGATCAAATAGATTTTGTAGAACAGATCTGATGCAGAATCTTATTGTGAGCAACACCATAAAACCCTTAGATACAAAGCTTTAAAGCAGTCAATCTATTTAACATAGAGTAATCATTTTCTCTAGATTTCTTCACCTCTTCAGTCATCAACAGAATGATCAAGCAAACCAGTAACAGAAAATATTGATTGTGAGTCATAATGGAAAATTTCGCGAATGCCTTGAAAACTATTATTTCTTCAGGGTTTATAAACTCAATCTGTTTACGATAAACGAAAATATATTCAGGAAAATAAGCCATATTTGCACAATTGGATGAAAGCGATGAAATTTTGAGAGAAAAATTTGATCTTTTTTTAAAAAGCATGAAATTAATGATGCAAAATAGAATGAATGATCCTCGATGAACCGAAAAGTTCAAAATTTCTTTTCAAACATTTTGAAACGTGTGAATCGTAAACAAGTTTGTTTTGGATATGAATTGGTAAGCCTTAATTTTAACCAATAATGGACCAGGCAAAGCTGGGCTTAGAAAGGACATGAAAGCCTTGAACTTCAGTGATTTCATGCGGTTTTAATAAACTTGGAATACAAATTGGAATTTTTATTGACAAAATCTACAAAAATACTAGAAAATCTTTAAAATATTAGCTTTCCCAGACGATTCCAATCAACAAGCAACGCCAGGCTCCGCACAGGAGCCGAGCTCGGGTATGCCGGTGTACGAGCAACAATGGAGTCCCTCTGGGCAACCAGAGGGTGGACAAGGAGCCACAATCTGAAATTGAAAGTGACATTGAAAGTTGACTTCATTGTCGAAAGTTGTGTTTGCCTCAATTCAACTTATTTTTCAGACAAAGGCAAGACTCTTGTGGATAGAAATGTACCAGTGCTGAGATAATACAACTTT